AGAGCACCAAAGTATATTTTGAGGGGCCAAGTGCAAAGATTTATGCTGCTGGTTACGTCACATATTCTACTTGGGAAGATCTCCAGCTGAATTACAGGCACCGTAATTAGAAAGGAAAAAAAAAATCGTACTCCAAAATGCCTTCTGGTTCTTTCCCTTAGATTTCTGTGGACTCTATCCTTTCCAGTCTGGATGGAGTCCACGTTTTTTTCTCCTCGGCGTGGGAGAGGCTGGTGGCCTTGTTGGCCATGTCGTTCACCTTGTGCTCCAGGAGTTGGTTCTTCTGATACATCTCCACATAGTTCAACTGCAGTTGCTTCTGGTACTTGATGACTTTCTCCTTCTCCTCCTGCCACGTGCAACGTTCCTCCTCGAAGTCCAGCACCTGCTGCTGCCGTGACTGGCGCTCGGCGTTCAGCTCCGCCTGGAGCCTCTCCACCTCCCTCTTCAGGGCATGAAGGCTCTCCTCACTCTGCCGTTTCATCTTGGCCTCGTCGCTCTCGCAGGCCAAGGGGTCCCGCGCCAGCCTCTCGGGGAGCTCCGACGGGACGTGGTTCGGGTGTCCCCCCAGGTGAGCCAAGGTCTGCTTCAAGTTGGAGACTTCCAGCTCGCACTGGCTGAGCTTCTCCCTCAGCATCTGGACCTCCGCCATCTTGAGCTGCAGCTCGTTCTCGCAGAAGTCCAGGCTGACGCTTTTGGTGCCGTAGGAGTCTTTCAGCGTCAAGATCTGCTCTTCCTTCTCTCGGAGGAAGCTCTTGCCTTCCTTGAGTTGGGTACGCAGCCCAACAATCTCGTTCAGCTTTTGGGAAACGTCAGCCTGGGAATCCTTCAGCTGTTGCTTCAGCAGGGAGATCTCACCTGCCTTTTGGCACACCTAGAAGAGAGAGAGAGATTCACATCAGGTAACCTCTTCAACAAAGCCGGTTACTGCGCATGACCAAATGAAGTCCCAGAGCTTCACAGAAAACAAACTGAGCCCTTGTGGAGTCCTACAATCGCCTGGTAGGCCGTCCCAAAGGTGTTTTTTTCCCCCCCCAAGAGGCACTTTCTGGTTTTTTCTTTGAAGACATTTTGCTTCTCGTCCAAGAAGCTTCTTCAGCTTCTTGGATGAGGAGAGATAGCCTTCTGCAGCATTTTCTCCATTTTCACCGGCAGGAAAGTGTTGTTGTGGTTCTCCGGCAGCCGGTGCAGACGACAGCGGAATCGGACAGTGGGGAAGAACGGGGACCAGTCTGGGAGTCTGTAGAGGACTCGGATGAGGGTCCTGCATTCAATGCAGGGATGGGGCCAGGACCATCTGGGAGTGGGGTGCTGCCTTCGGAGCCTGGCAGCAACGAGGCAGAGGACCCAGGGGAGCCTGTTCCCAGTGCGCGTATGCGCAGAGCTGCTAGAAGGCGAGAGCAACTGAAACTAAAGGGGCCCCTCCCATAAGGGATAAAGGACAGGCAAAGGTGACGAAACCTTTGCAGGAAGCAAAGTTGTTCATTCGGTTCAGACTCATTCTTGAAGCTCTTTGTATTTCGGTTGGTTTTTTTCCCTAGTTCATTGGACACTTCTGTTATTGGCAGCACTTCACAGGGAAGAAAGGTGGGTGCTTATCTCGAGGGACTGTTTTGAGATTCATTACCGGCTGGGAATAAAAACAATTCCCAGCGTTGCAATAAAATAAGTCTTGTTTTTAAAATAAACGTATGCGTAATTACAGTCTAGGAAGCCTTGGTCAGAACAGCTGTCGCGGCTGAAAACGGGGCCTGAGGAGGCCATATGTGGCCCTCCCAAGTTCTGTTTTCGCTGACAGAGGCACCGCGGGACAATCCTTTGCTGTTTCCAAAGTGGCCCCGCGGGTCAGATCTAAGCACCCCTGTGTTGTGGCCTGCTGGCGGCTAGCAGAGCTGGCAGCAGAGTCGGACAGTGAGGAGGTTGGGGAGGAATCCGGGCCAGTCCTGGAGGCTGAGGAAGGCTCGGACGTGGGCTCTGTGCCAGAGATGAGGCTGGCAATCGTCAGCTGCATTCGGGCTCGGACAGCAGTGAGGTGAGGAAGCTTCTGGAACCGGTTCCCAGCCTGCGCATGCGCAGAGCTGCCAAAAGAAAAGAACAATTACGAACTAAGGGTCAACGTGGCAGTAAGGCCACAGATGGACATCGAAAAGAGGAGCAAAAGAGGAGGGGAAACAATTCGTTCGTTGCAACAGTGTGAAGATCTGCCTGTGCATCTCACAGACTCTTTGCCGAGCCCTTCCTTGTCAGCACTGTGTTTGGAAATAGTTACTTGGCAGCTCTCCAAGCTAGATAAGGTCTGTGCTCCTAATTACACCCCTGAAAGACAGTTGGCCAGGCCTTTGACTGAATGTGAATGCAAGAAATTCACCTTTGTTTAATAAAAGGGGTTTTGCCGAGACAAAGAATTGGCCTAGTGTTTTTGGGGGAAGCCGAGGTCAGAATACCCTGCTGTAGAGACAATACATGCATAGCGCTCTCAAGTGACAAGTGCATGTGAATTTTCTCCATATACAAGTAAATCTGACTCTCACCTCCCATTTGGTCTCTTCAATCTTGGGAAGAAACTCCGCCTGTTCCTTTTTGAAAGCCACAAATTTCTTCTCCAGCTCTTCTCGTTGTTGAAGAAGTTGAGCCACGTCGTCTTGGAGCTTCTTCTTCTCCTGCTGGAGCTTGAAGATCTGGAACTGGAGCGCTTGTTGAGCTCTCTGGGTTTTCTTGGAGACTTGCTGGAGCTTGTTGGCATAGTTCTGCCTCAGCTCGTCCATCTCCCGTTCCCAAATCTTTTGCTTCTCCTCGAAGACTTGGTAGATGGCCGCCTCGCTCTTGTCCAGGTTCCTCCTCATCTGGAGGACCTCCTGTTCCTTCTCCCACAGCCGGTTTTCCAAGTCTTGGATGACGTCGTCCGTGGAAGGCGAGTGGAAAGGCATCGTTTCGTTGAGATGGTTGAGTCGGCTGAAGGAAGAGGTGCTCTTGGTGGAAGATCGGCCGCTGTCTGAGGTAGATATCCCGTTGTATCCCACAACGTTCTTCTCGCCGTAGGTGGTCCCAATACGGTTGATGTGACTGGTGGAGGCGCTCATGGGGCCCACGTGCTGGCTGTAGCCCGTGCCGTAGGTGGGCAAGCTGGTTAAAGAGTTGCGGCCAGAATCGGAGAGGCCGACTCCTGGGTTGGTAGTCCTGTTAAGGCTGGCCTTCTCCAGGCTGCTTTTGACCGGGGCAGGACTATTGCTGTGCGTGTGATTTAAAGTCTTCCGGTTCTCGGTGGCGACGCCGTTGTTCTGCGGTGGACACAGGTTTTGCATGGAATGGAAGTTTTTAGGAACAACTGGCTTAAAGGCTGAAGGTCTAACTAAGGGCTCAGTATTCTGAAACTGAGAAGAAGACACCAAATAAAACAATTTATCTATTTATCTATTATCTATCCATTTATCTACCATATCTATCTATCTACCATATCTATCTATCTATCTATCTATCTATCTATCTATCTATCTATCTATCTA